GGGTCCTCCGGTTTTCCTCCCTCAGCAAAAATCAACATGTGAGGAGGGTTGTGTGCTAAAATACTTAATGTAGAGGTAGTGAGTGTGAGAGTATAGAGGGCCACAAGTTCATCATGCAGTTCTTTACTGGCAGGTGTTTACCCTCTTAAAACAAAGTTGATTGAATTTGATTTGAATACTAAAGAATGATAACAAAGTAAGGGAAACACAATAGAACTGGGCTCCAGTTAAAGTGCACCCTATATACATATAATAATAAAGGAAACAAGAAAGCAAAATAATGGTATAATWAATGAAAATAATGTATTAGATGTCAAAACCTGCTGCAATCATCAATAGGCTAATTAAATCAATTAATCATGAGTTTATTTTAGTTTTGAATTAATATGATTAAATTCTATTATTTGTGTTTCTCAGATGTACAGAAGCTGGAATTGAATAAACTGTTATCTTTGGTCAAGCAGTGCTCAGATCAAGACAAAGACATCCTACAAGGAGTTGATACAAGTAAGTACACATACCTGTACATTGATAAATAGGTTGTAACAATACAGTATTCGTTGACAAATAGCTTTTGCCGAGACTTCAAAAAATCTTGTAATAGCCATAAACTTTACAAATATATTATCACTTCATAACATAATTTTCGTACGTACTGGCCAGGGACTACCAAGAATAGTGAAAACTAGTTTCGTTTAATAAAACCTCTTAATCAGTTCACTATATTTTACATGTAAACATGTTCTTCCCTTCAAGGCAATAATTATATAATACGACTACTGAAGAGGTTTAATTTATTAAACGAAAGTAGTTTTCACTATTCTTGGTAGTCCCTGGCCAGTACATACGAAAATTATGTTATGAAGTGATTTAGATTTGTAAAGTTTATGGCTAATAAAGTATTCGTCGTGTATTTTCAAAACTGATAATTTGAGGAGATCGCCTAAACTTACTTAGTTTGATGATTTTTAGTTAAAATTCAACGTGGCTGCTCTTAAGAAAACATTATTGTATAGAATATAAGAGTTTTTAAGAGTTTTTCATGATATCCATAAAGTAAGATACAAGAGGCAAAATAAGAAGCAGAACTGTAGTAGCCACCTATAACCAAAACAATGCTATGCATCCAAAACACTTTTAATGTTTTTCATCTAACAAATAAACAAAGAAAAATTGGAAATGTCCAATCAGAAACCAGTATTTTATGTAGGTGTGATATTAATAACTTTAATAATTGATATTAATTTATGACTCTTGTCCAAATGATTAGACTATTAAGCTTTCCTGTTGACAAGATATTACAGTATATGTTC